TCCACATGGAAATGTATAACACTTTATTGAGAGGCATGCATTCTTATAAACTTTCTGCAACCTGGTAGAATGAATAGGAAAACTTCTCTTCTGAAGCTGAAATCTGATTCTTTCATCTTATGGTCCTTATTAGGGCCACCTCACACTAAAATAATTAACTTCCTGAGTTTAAATGCAAAGTACTTAGCAGTACAAAATATCATTTTGACAAAGATTGCAACTCTTGTTCTAGGGTGGTGCCTAAGGGTTACCAGCATATCCTGGCCTTAGCATTTGCAGTAAAGGAGATCAATGAAAACCATCACATCTTACCAAACGTCACCTTGGGCTTCCACATCTATGACAGCTATGTCAATGCAAGGAAGACCTGTCATGCCACAATGCTACTTTTATCCACACTGGAGAAATTTCTCCCCAACTATATATGTGATATCCAGAATAATCTGACAGCTGTCATTGGGGGACTTGACACTGAAACTTCCCTTCATATGTCAACTATCTTGCATCTCTATAAGATTCCACAGGTAGGGCACTTCTGTCTGTGTGTGGAATATTTGAATCCAATACCATTTTCATACTTCCTTGGTCCCTCCAGATTTTGTTTTGTCTGGCTTGGAACCAGAAGTGGATGCACTAGGAATGGATGTGTGGCCCTTCCTTCCTTCCTTCCTTCCTTCCTTCCTTCCTTCCTTCCTTCCTCTTCTCATTCTTCCAACACTAAGAAAACCCTCATAAATAAGGATGGGGAATGAAATGATTGTCACATGATAGTCACAAAGTATAACTGAGATTCAAAATGACACAAACCAGACTTCTTGTCTGATTCAGTGTAACACATATTCTGATGTCCCTTTATTAATTGGTTTGCAGCGAATACCAGCTGATTACCTATAGCCCCTTTTAAGGGATAATTATTCAAAGGATATGATGCCACTTTTTATCTGTTACAATAAGAATTTCCAACCTAACATTTATTTCTCCAATCTCTCCTTAGCTCACATATGGCCCTGCTCCAGTGATGAATGATCAAACCCCAGGATTTTCCTTCTACCAGAAGGAAAATCCAATTTGCAGGAATTCTCTCTTTGCTTCTGCATTTCAGATGGACATGGATTGGGGTCCTTGTGATGGATAATGACAATGGAGAAAGATTTGTGCACACTGTGCTCCCAGTGTTTGCAGAGAGTGGTATTTGCTTTGCCTTTCAAGAAAAAATTCCAACAATTAGTTTTGCCACTGCAACTGATGACATGATTCAAGTAGGGGCAAAATTGCATGATGAAATAATGAGCAGCAAAGCTAACGTAGTGCTGGTCTATGGAGAATCTTATGCAATGATATTTTTAAGATGGCTTCCCTATCTAAAAAACATAGTGCCTGTGACAATGAATATAAAAGGTAAAGTGTGGATCACAACAGCCCAGGTGTTATTCACTTCATATAGCTTTCAAAGGAATTGGGATTTAGATGTGTTCCAAGGCACTATATCTTTTGCAATTCATTTGCAAGAACTAGAAGGTTTTCATCAATATGTTAAGAGCAGAAATCCATCCATTACAGATGGAGATGGTTTTCTCAGGGACTTCTGGCAACAGGCCTTTGGCTGTCAATTCCCAAATTCCATGGCTGGCAAGGTGCAGTGGAATATTTGCACTGGAGAAGAAAAGCTGGAGAGTCTTCCTGGGGATTTTTTTGAAATGAGTATGACAGGGCCCAGCTATAGCATCTACAATGCTGTTTATGCTGTGGCTCATGCTTTGCATGTGTTGACCTCATCTAACTTCAGAGGAATGGTTCACAAAAAGAGACAGAAGAATTGGAACCAACAGTTTTGGAAGGTAATGGGCAGAAGTTTCTCACCTTGCATAGCACCTTGGAATAATGTTTTTTCCTCCCAAAAACTGGGGTTCCTCACTGCTCTGCTCTTTGCTGCCTGGATTTACAACTTTCTGCATGGGTGTGAGAAAGAGGAAACCAGTGTTGTAGCTATACTTTTCAGTTAGTATGAAATATTGAATTGCTTGCAAATTTTAGCTAAACAATGATGGTACTACACAGATGAAAGGGGAATAGGCCAATGAGCTTATTCCAGCAGAAAATGTCCATGGTGGGGGGTGGGGCTGTGAGATCCCACACAATCAATTCAGATGCGGCTCCGATTCCAGCCAGGAAGCAGTGATGGCAGCCAGAGGCATCTGCATCACTCTCCTAGCATCCCCTATTCCACAAATGCTTCATCAGATCAAGTGATCCCACACTGCTCCTGAGAGGTAGGACACTGACAAAAAAAAAACAAGAAAGCAGGATGTGTGCCGGAGAAAATTTATTGGAAAATACACCATATCAGGCTCCGTCACCATCTTTCATTGACTCTGGGCTCCATTCAACATTAAATGATAAAGGTTTTCCTTCCAGTAGCACCTTAAAGACCAACTAAGTTAGTTCTTGGTATGAGCTTTCGTGTGCATGCACACTTCTTCAGATACACGGTATCTGAAGAAGTATCTGTGTATCTGAAGAAGTGTGCATGCACACGAAAGCTCATACCAAGAACTAACTTAGTTGGTCTTTAAGGTGCTACTGGAAGGATTTTTTTTTTTGTTTTGACTATGGCAGACCAACACGGCTACCTATCTGTAAAAGGTTTTCCTGTTTGTTAACATGCCTTTATAGGAACAAGTTTCACCATCTCTACAATAGATCTTTGTCTGAAAGATCAAAAGTTTAGTGAAGTCAGTCTTCACTAAATTCCTTCCTTTGTTTTGTTTTGTTTTGTTTTGTTTTATTTTGTTTTTCAATCTAGCTCCACCGCTTTTTGAGAAGGATCACATTTAACAACACTGCAGGAAATGAGGTCTCCTTCAACCAGTATGGAGAGGTACTAAGTGGCTTGGATATTATCAACTGCATTATTTCCTCCAACCAATCCTTTCATAGAGTGAGAATTGGAAGGATGGACCCAAAGGCTTCTCCATATCGTGCATTTACCCTTGATGAAGATGCCATAACATGGCACAGCTGGTTTAACCAAGTAGGCTCCAAGTATCTCCTGTTTCAATGAGTTCCAGTATTGAATGAGCACTGGGTATCGGTCCAGATTTCTAATATTGCTTTCCTTTGAAAATCATACACACCCACTGAAGTGTGTGCACTTGGTTATACAGTGATCTGCCCAAACACCTCCATATCAGGTGAAAAATAGAGGGTGTTTATACTGGCTTTCAGTGAACAGCAATGCTTTCTCTAGTTCGGAAAAATATCTTCTATATCATACCAAATAGTTTCTCCCTCTCCCCACACAAAGGTACCCAGAACCAGAAAGATTTCCTAATAATTATTCTTTTAATCATCATTATGCTCTTTCATTATGGTTCAGGTTCAGCCTCATTCCGTATGTACTGTGAGTTACCAACCTGGATCTAGCAAGAAAGTGAAGGAAGGGGAGCCTTTTTGTTGCTACGATTGCATCCCATGCCCAGATGGGAAGATTTCAAACAGGGAGGGTAAGCAATAGACACAGACGGCAGGATCCACTTGCCATTACTTGCCCTCAGCTCCAAATGAAATAAATGCAAGCGGTGTAAGTTTGCTTAAGTTATTCTGGATCAAACACAAAGGCTGCTGTGTTCTGTTATCCAGAGGAATGTTTAGAATGTTATTGAGATGTTATCAAAACATTTATGCCACATTTAGCCCCAAATGGATGGCCACATCATTTTCAATGCAGCATTCCTATTTCCACTCAGATGATACTTTATATCCATTGAACAACTTTATAGTATCAACACTGACAGTTTCACTGGATTTTAATGGATACGTGAAATGAGAGCAATTATGGCATGCTGTTGAAATTAATGGCAATAAACATCTTTCTTTCTCCAGATATGAATGACTGTAATAAATGCTCAGATGAAAACTATCCTAGCAAGAGGAAAGATACATGCATTCCCAAGGATATAAGCTTCTTGTCTTATGAAGAGTCTTTAGGCATTAGTTTAGCCTTCCTTTCTCTTTCCTTTGCTTTAATCACAGCACTGGTGCTGGGAATATTTCTGAAGAACCACAAGACGCCCATCATCAAAGCCAACAACCGCAACCTCACCTACACTCTCCTCATCTCCCTACAGCTCTGCTTTCTTTGTGCTTTATTATTCATTGGCCAACCACAGAATGCAACATGTCTTCCTCCGACAAACTGCTTTTGGCATTATCTTCTCAGTAGCTGTTTCTTGTGTGCTAGCAAAGACTATCATGGTGGTTCTGGCTTTCATGGCCACCAAACCAGGATCCAGGATAAGGAAGTGGGTGGGGAAAAGACTGGCCTACTCCATTGTTCTTTCCTGTTCCCTTATTCAAACAGGCATTTGTATTGTGTGGCTGGCAACCTCTCCCCCATTCCTAGACATTGACATGCACTCAATGCTGAAGAAATTATACTAGAATGTAATGAGGGGTCTGTGACTATGTTTTACTGTGTCCTTGTCTACATGGGCTTCCTGGCAATTGTAAGTTTGACTGTGGCTTTCCTTGCCAGGAAATTGCCAGACAGTTTCAATGAAGCCAAGTTCATCACTTTCAGCATGTTGGTCTTTTGTAGCGTTTGGTTATCTTTTGTTCCTAGTTACTTGAGCACTAAAGGGAAATATATGGTAGCCGTGGAGATCTTCTCTGTCTTAGCTTCTAGTGCTGGGTTGTTTGGTTGTATTTTTTCCCCAAAGTGTTATATTCTTTTGTTGCAGCCTCAGCTGAACAACAGGGAACAGCTTATCAGAAGAAAAGAATGAAGTTTTTATTGTGAGTTCTTTGTTATGGAATGTTGACTTATGCTGATGTGTTTTATGGATGTTTGTGTGCAGCACAATATTTGTAGTTTCCTTTTCTTCAGCAGCTTAATGGAAATTTTATCTACAAGACTTCAGTCTCTCCCAGTTCAGGAATGTGTTTGGAGAACAAAATCAAGTCTACAGTCCTTCTTATTCCGTGCAAACAGAAAACAAGTCATGGTGGAAGATGCCAAAGAGCCATTTACTCGAAGTAAAAAAAAAAGGTAGGAAGAAGAAGAGCATGTCAAATGCTGCCCACTCCAGTACATCACCTTTGGCTCATTTGCAGTCCTCCTTGATTTTAAATTATTGTATGTGCAATGGGGAGCCTTTTCATGTCATGATACACTAGTTGCCTCCCTTACTATAAAGCTTATAGTGAATTGTATGAACCTGAGAGGGTGGGGCTTTGCAGTGTGATTCAGCTTCCTCTTCTATATTTGTTCACATGTGAGTGGGGATGTCAAAGCAATCTACTGAATTCTCAAGTGTAGAGCCTTCCACCCACTTATTCAACCTTCAACATAGGAAGTATTTTCCACCTTGGTTTGCTTAAAAAAAAGAAAAAATTCTAAAAAATTAAATCTTGTATCCATTATATGTAAACAGAAGTGTAAATTGCTTTGCAATACACATTATTTAAGTATTTATGCATTTAAATCTGTAATACTAGTTTATGATGAACATTTGTAACTGTTGACTTCATTTATATTATGCTAGTTTAAAAAATACCTTCTTTTTAACCTTGAATTTTATTTACAATGTTGATAAATATGTTATATTTTATGTAAAATGAGTAGAGGTTTTATTTACAATTAAGCGGCATACAGTATCGTCTCTCTCCTGACCTGTGTCTCATATCTTCATTATTTATTACTAGAGACAGTCAATATGCACTAAGGCTTCAATGCTAATTCTGTCTGATCAGAAGTAAGTCCCATTGACCTCAAGGGGACTTATTCCCGGGTAAATGAAATTAGGATAGCCCCTTTGAACCACTTCCTTTGCTCCTCATTTTTCTTTCCTTGTGGAAATAAGTGGTCTCTTTTGTTACCTGTGTATTTCATCTGTGCTCCTCAGTTAAAGCGTGAGGCGCAATGAAAGGAGAACCATATGGATTTGACTATTCATTTTGATCACCAACCCCACCTGATTGGTGGTTGGCATCACTCTTTACAGAGACAAAAACCAAAGAGGGATCAGGAAGCAAGTTTTGTGAAGTGATATTTAATATGCAAACCAAACAAACCAGGATTTCAGTTTCTAGCATTTGAGAATTTGGAGGAGGGGAATTGAAATCATGTAACACCTATCTTCTTTTTTTATACCATGCAAAGTTATAAAGAATTATGGTGGATCAGATCAAAAGCCCATCTAGTCCAGTTCAACCACAAAAATGACCCTTCCCACTGTAATGTAGCTGAGAAATAGGAATAGCCCACATCCCACCATGGCCACACCAGGCCACAGCCTCCACTCCCCACAATTCTGGAAATAACAGGCACCATCAGATTTAGCCTCTCCCCAGACCACAAGTCAAGTGCATGGCACCTTGGGGTCATTTGCAACCCTCTGTGAGTTTGCAGTCTCTATCTACAGTGAGAAGCCTTGTTCCAGTCATGGTGCACAGTAAGATCTTTGGCTGTGTTATATGTGTTAGAGTCTCTGTAAGCTGCTTAGGTTTGATTTACACTTTAAACAATATACAATTTCTGTTAAATAAATTATTAAAACACCCTTGACTGATAATTGGTGCTCTCCCAACATGTATCCCATAGCCTGGTTGTTCTTTGCTAGAGACAACCAATATGTACTACAGCTGCAATTCTTATTGCCGACCTACTCACAGTGCCCCCTGGCGGTGAAAGGCAATACCAACAACAGGTGTAAGCAAACTGCACATGACAACATTCTGGAATTTAAAATTAGCCACAACTTTTATTGATTACAAATTGTGGGTAGGCTTTGGTCCAGGCATTAGGCACTTATCCATTTTCCAGCTTCCAGGTGGACACTTGAGCAGGGTTGTGTCTGGCATAGGAACCAGGGGGGGTGGGCAGAGCAAGCATGTTTTCTCCTACTCTGGAGGGTAGGACACGAACCAATGCCTTCAAGTTACAAGAAAGGGGATTCTGACTACACATTAGGAATAACCTCTGACAGTAAGTGTTGCTACACAGCAGAATGGGCTCGCTTGGGAGATGGTGGACTGTCAGGAACGGGTGTCAAGAATAAATCACACAAAGTAAGTGAAAGTTAACTCATTATTAGAAGAAAGAAGGTCTGCTCAGAAGTGCCATGCCTAATGAGCACAGCAACTCTTCTCGTTAGGTCTCTGCTCCTCCCTCTTTATATCTCTTCTGGTCCAAGGAGATGGGGGGGGAGATGGGGGGGTATTCTTGCAGCAGGAGGGGAAGACACCTGGCTTCTTCACCAGCCAAACTTATTTCTGGTGTTTTGCCTTCCTCCTCTTCAGCTTCTGATCCTGATGCTGGACTTCTCTCTGCCACAGACTCTCATTGCTCACTAAACCCTGTTACTTCTTCCACTTCTGACACCTCCTCCTCCCAGTCTCCTCCCTCTTTTTGTCCTTTTAATTAAAAGCAAAAGGTTGTCTTTTAGCTCACTGAATATCTTTTCTTAAAACTAAATGTGGTTTGCATGTTGAAATTTGTAAAACTATGCCTAGTTAATAAATCCAGAGTTCAATGGACCGTTCTCTCTCTCTCTCTCTCTCTCTCTCTCTCTCTCTCTCTGTCAAATCACAGATGTGAACCATTGCCAATTCCTACATGCTACATATACCACTTTAAATTTTGGAGTCTCCTTTGGCTACAGGGACTGTTATGATAAGCTCCTACCTTCAAAATTCCCCTCTCCACCACTGTTTCCATATAATCTAACAAAGGGGGGGGGTAAAATGAGAGTTGTAAATGTTCTCCAGCAATTCTACAGGGAACCCAGCATTCTGTCTTAATAATTGCCTTCCTGTTTGATGATTGAAAGGTCTGTAATTAATTCTGCTGCTTCACAAATCCTTGGTGTACATTCAGTGGCCCTGGAAAAACACAAAACAAAGCTGTTGGAAGATGTTATAAATATAGCCATGATCATGAAAAAACATTTTGGGGTACATTACTTTGATCCTGGATGTCCTAGATTCCCACTTCTCCCAAAACTAAACTACCTCTCAGGTTAGACAGTTGTAATGTAATATAATATGATGACAGTGCTGTGGAAGAGATTAGATGAGTATGTGGTTGAAGGTAGATGTGCCCTTATATGGAAGATGGTCTTTTTTACTGTCTTGCTGCTAGCAATATTTACTCCAAAGGTATGTCAGGTCCACATAGAAGAGTGCAGGATTCAGTTTACACATCAGCCACTTCATAAGTATCATCAGTCAGGAGATTTTATAATTGGTGGCATTGCTTCTCATGGAGGCTTCCTCTCCAATTCAGTAACCTTCACTGAACAAGTCCCACCAGAGTTGTCCGAAGAGCTTGTGTAAGAACTTCTTCTTATTATTATTATTATTATTATTATTATTATTATTATTATTATACTTCCATTTATTTTGTTACTGGAATGAACAGTCCTAGAACAACAGCCTCAGAACACCTGCTGAGGCTGCAAACCTATACACACATATGTGAGAATAACACCCTTCAAATCCATTTCTGCCTGAAGATACATGGGATTATACTGTTAAATTAAGGCAATTAATTGAATACTTAACGGGGAAAAGTCCTGTTGCTCCACAGGGGAATGAATAACACTTTATTGGGAGGAATGTATAATTATGTGCCTGAAATTTGTGTACCTTTGAGCAGTTCATTCTTATAATCTTTCTGCAACAAGTAGAATTAATAGGAAAGCTTCTTTTCTGAAGTAGAAATCTCATTCTTCTATTTTATGGTCCTTGTGAGGGCCACATAACACTGAAATGATTAACTTCTGAGTTTAAATGTAAAGGACATACCAGTATGAAGTATCACTTTGATAAAGATTGCAACTCTTGTTCTAGGGTGATGCCTAAGTGTTACCAGCACATCCTAGCCTTAGCATTTGCAGTAAATGAGATCAACGAAAACTCTCACATCTTACCCAACTACACCTTGGGCTTCCACATCTATGACAGCAATGATAATGCAAGGAAGACCTATCATGCCACAATGCTGCTTTTATCCACACTGGAGAAATTTGTCCCCAACTATATATGTGATATCCAGAATAATCTGACAGCTGTCATTGGGGGACTTGACACTGAGATCTCCCTTCATGTGGCAACCATCTCACATATCTATAAAATTCCACAGGTAGAACACTTCTGCGTGAAAATCCAATACTCTTTCCATACATCTTTTATTCTTTGAGATTTTATTTTGTGCATTGGAAGCAAAATGGATGCATTAGGAATAATCTGATCAAACGTTGTTATTTCATTCTTATACCCAGATTAAGAAAAGCCCTCCTTTAAGTTCATAAATGAGGGAAGAAAATGGGATTGGGAACAGGAAGTTTGTAAGATATAATTGGTATTCAGAACTAGGCAAACTCAGACTGCTAGTTGGTATTTAATATAAGACAGTTTTTGATGTTCATTGGTTTGTGACAAACAGCTCCCAGTTGCACAAATCACATTTTAAGGAAGCTGATTGAAAGGTTTGATGTGCAACAATTGCAAGTACTGTTCCATAAAACCAATTATCTTGACCAATTTCAATCTGGGTTCAGGTCAGGTTATGGAACTGAATCATCTTCGGTTGTCCTGATGGATGATGTTAATAGGAGAATGTGACTGACTTGATTTCTCAATGAGCTTTCATACAATTAACAATATGGTCCTTCTGAATCAACTTAGTTAATTGGGATTGTAGGCACTAGTTGTGATCCTATCTGCAGGGTTGCTTTCAGAGAAAAACATTGGGCAATTATCTTTCAGTCCCATGGCAGTTGTGCTGTGAGTTGGTGCCACAGGACATTATCAAATGCCACATGTCATTTAACACCTCTATGAAGCCATTGAGTGTGGTCATTAGAAGATTTGGACTGGAAGTCATCAGTACGCTGGAAGTCATCAGGACTGGAAGTCATCATTTCACTGCAATATTAAATCACTAGATATTGTGCAAGCCTGGACTCAATAGTGCGCTAGATGAGGGCTAACAAACTGATTCTGAATCCTAGCAAGATGGAGGCACCTTGGGGAAGGGTCCCCAAGTCCATTTAACTGATCTATTGCCTGCTTTGGTTCAGTTTATTCTTCCCCTGAAGGAGCATTAAATATTAGGCAGAAACAGTCCCTGTTGCTAAGGCGATCCTCTTCACACAAACCTTTTCAGTGGATGTTACATAGCCTGCATCTGTATTGGAATTGTTTTTAGAACTTTTTTAAGGTGTTTTACTGTTTGTGGGTTTTGTATCCTAGGCTCTTTGGGGGGGAAAGTAGAGAGATAAATTATTTTTGATATTAAAATTTATATAAGTAGTCATGGATTTGAAAATTTACACCACCTCTGCAGTGTCACAGACCATGTTCCCATAAGCATCTTATTCAGAATTTTTATGCTCCAAGTTAATGTGTTTTGTTTGCATGTTTTTCATGTTGAATACCTTTTAATAATCACTCGTGTATGTTCTGAATAAATTCTGCATTTCTGGGTTGATTCCAGTCCCAGACTGAACATACGTAGGTCAAGGAATGAACCCCACATTATAAAATGTACCGTAATTTCCCCTGACATAACCCATCAAAGATAGGGTAACTTAGATACATGTGAGATCCAAATCAGTCAGGATAACAACTACATAAATAGAAATTGCATGATTAGCTTTCTAGGTAAATATGATAAACATTTTGATGTAATTTGCAGTTGTGGCAGCAAATCTGGATCAGTTCCTTGGTTTGAAGGGTAGGGAGGCTTTAACTCCTTGCACATACAAATCCACTATGGTCCCAATCCAAACTTGGGATCTTGCTTTGCTTTGAAATAATTGTTTTTTTCCCAATGCAAGATTTTGGTGTGAATTAATTTTGGAATGGGAACACAATGCAATGATAGGGTTAAACACCCCCTACCAATTATATGCCACTTTTCTGATCCAGATCTCCTCCTACCCACCCAAATATGTAATTTGCATTTTAAAAACTACTGAGATGGAGAGGTTGCAGATGCCAAGAATGCACTTCTAATATATCTCTCCAGCTGCCCTGATTTCATATGTGTAACATGGAGGGGAGTGGTGATAGGAAGCGAGAAGGAGAAAAATGAAGGACACAAAGAGATTTGTTTGGGGAGTTGCCCAACACACATTTGACTCCAGTTCTACTGAATTTTAGCTTCAGCTTCACTGGCATGTGGCAACCACCAGATTTCACCTGAAAAAAATGGAGTCCACATCAGAAAAGCATCAGCACCCCCTAAATAGCAAAGCTCTCATTTTCTTTGCAGTAAGAAAGGTTCCCAACCTGAGTTATGAAGAAAGGGGTATAAAGTGAGAGTGCATCTGTATAAATTCTGTTGTGTGTATTGACTGGGGGTGGGGGAATGGGATAAACTGCAGGTTGAGACCAGATTGAAATTTTACCAGCATTATCTCTGTTCAGTGAAACTTAAATCCTGTTAAGCTCTGAGAGATTAACTAAATTGGATATCAGACTAGAAAACAGTTCCTGAAATGTGTGTGAGTGGCTGTAAATAGTTGAATCTGCTGTAAAATGATAACATCTATATCACCTTTCTATGATCTCTCTTTAGCTCACATATGGGCCTGCTCCAGTGATGAGTGATAAAATCCCAGGATATTCCTTCTACCAGATGGCCCCCCAGGAACACCAACAGTTTGCAGGGATCCTCTCTTTGCTTCTACATTTCAAATGGACATGGGTTGGGGTTGTTGTGATGGATAATGACAATGGAGAAAGATTTGTTCAAACTGTTCTCCCAATGTTTACAAAAAGTGGTATCTGCTTTGCTTTTGTAGGAAGAATCCCAAAAGTTACTTTTGTCAGTAACTCAGATAATATTCTCGAACAAGGGGGGAAAGTGCATGATGAAATAATGGCTAGTAAAGCTAATGTTGTGGTGCTCTATGGAGAATCTTACTCAATGGCATTTTTTAGGTGGATTCCATATCTAAAGGGCATTACACAAGTGGCTATGAGTGTAAAAGGAAAAGTATGGATAACAACAGCCCAGATGATGTTCATTGCATATAGCATTCAAAGGAATTTGAATTTAGATATGTTCCAGGGCACTTTATCTTTTGCAATTCATTTGAATGACGTAGAAGGATTTCAGCAATATGTCAAGAGCCAAAATCCATCCATTACAGATGGAGATGGTTTTATCAGGGACTTCTGGCAACAGGCCTTTGGCTGTGAATTCCTAGATTCCATGGATAATAAAATGGAGGGGGATATTTGCACTGGGGAAGAAAAGCTGGAGAGCCTTCCTGGGGACTTATTTGAAATGAGCATGACAGGTCATAGCTATAGTATCTACAATGCTGTTTATGCTGTGGCCCATGCTTTACATGTGATGTCTGCAGGTCGGCTTAGACACAGAGGACTGGTGCACAAAAGGAAACAGAAGAATTGGAGCCAGCAGTTCTGGAAGGTAAGACGTTGAACCATAGGAGCCAACTCCTAGGGGCTGTGGGGTTTTGGTCCCCACAATAAAATATTTGACTGGGCCCCCGCAAAGTTTATGAGCATTCTCATTCATATGGTGTGTGTGCACTGCTTCATGAGATTGATTATGTGGGGTGGGGCTTACCTGGGTCCCCACAATATTTTATTCATGTTGGCACTCCTGAGTTGAAGAGTCTCAAGTGGCAGAAATTGGGTCTTATTTCCTTCCAACATCTGGGCTACCTCAGTGTTGCAGATCTAGTCTTTGCTGCTTGGCTTCACAGCTTTCTTTGTGTGCATCAAGAAGAGGAAAACAGTGCTGGATTTATACTTTGTAGGCAGGGCAGGAGGAATTGAAGTTAAAGGTGGCCTGGCTGGTTTATGATATATTGTGATACTTCCAAATTCTGGACATTTGTGGCACTTGTTGAAGAGAGAGGTTTGGAAGAGAGATTCTTACTGCCTCGTAGCAGAGTTAGCACAATGCCAATTGTTCCAAGCACATTAAACTTGGTTAGATTTACATCTCCCCTCATTCACCTTTAAACAAATGTTCCCTACAAAAATACTTAGACCAGAATAAATTACAGACACTTAGCTTTCCAAATACAGTAAGTGAATATTTTACTCAGAATTTCAGAAGTTACAGTAAGCAAGTCTCCATCTGCAGGCAGTAAAACAAAGATTTTGTAAAAAATAAATAAATCCTAATGACATAAAAAGTGCTTGGTTTCCTTACAAAAAGAATCAGCAAGTAACACCACTCCTGACTAGCAAAAAGAGAAAGAACAAAATTGTTGTCTCAGCTTTTGGCTCTGAGGCCACCCCACATCTGACTCAGAGTTTGTCCACACTTCTGTTTGCCTCACTACTTTCCCTCAGGTAAACTCATGGTTTACTGCTGAATCAGAGGCATGGAACAAGCGGAAGTGAGGACAAGCCCTCTCTCAACATCCACCATTAGTTTGGGACTTTGCTCATTATTAGATGATGCCTTAATGTTTTCCTTTGTGTCAATATCCCTTCAGAGCAACAGGTTTACCATCCTTACGTTTGATCATCATATGAAAGATCAAAGTGCAGTCTTCTATGAATGCCTCCTTTCATCTTCTTTCTGTCTAGCTCCACTACTTTCTGAGAAGTGTCTCCTTTAACAACACTGCAGGGGATGAGGTCTCCTTCAGTGAAAATGGCGAGGTAGTATTTGGCTTGGACGTTATCAACTGGATTATTTCATCCAACCACTCCCTTACTAGAGTGAGGGTTGGAAGGATGGATTCACAGGCTCCTCCAGACAAAGCATTTACCATTGATGAAGATGCCATAATGTGGCACAGCTGGTTTAACCAGGTAGGGCCCTTGTGTGAGCTATTTTGAAGAATTCTAATTCTAAATGAGCACTGATCATCTGTCTTGACTCTAAAACTTCTTTAATTTGACAATCACACACCTATGAAAAACTGATTTTTCATTGAAAGAAGTTAATGTCTATTAATGTGTTTGTATTGTTACAAAAAGGTTGGCCAATCACAGGTTCATATGGAGAGAGGCAGTCCTTGAGGAATTGCAGTTCTGAGGTGCTTCAGGGTTATATGTGTGCGATTATATTGTGGTTGTTTCTTGTACTGTAGTTTGTGACCTTGATCATATAGAATACTGCCCAAACACCTCAATATCAGTCCCCAAAAGTAGTTCCTATAAGTGTTCACTGTGTGGCAATGCTTTGTCTAGTTGAAATGAATACATTTGTGGTATTATCAGCACTTTCTCCTAATGCCCAATTAAACTTGATTTATCAATGTCTGGTACATCATACCAGGTAATTCTCCATCTCCCCATAGAAAATGACCTACAACCAGAAGGATTCCTGAATTAGTCATTGTTCTCGTTATCATTATTCTGCTCTTTATGTATTAGACTCAGCCTCATTCTGTATGTACTGTGAGTTGTCAACCTGGATCTAGCAAGAAAGTGAAGGAGGGGAAGCCATTTTGCTGCTACAATTGCATCCCATGTCCAGAGGGGAAGATTTCAAACAAAGAGGGTAAGAGTTAATTGTACTTAGTTTCCTTTGAAATATATGGTAAGAGGAGTGATTATTGTAAACTGTGAGGAAAAATAATTTGCTTTGAGATAACAGTCAATAATACCCAGGCTAATAATACCCAGTATGGTAAAGGTACTTTTGGATCAACCAATAACTGTTGATATTGTTCAGCAGTTCATGGCTGAACAATTAAAAATGATCAAATAATATTTGAAGAAGATGAAGAAAATAAAGAAAATGAGCCAGATGATGAACCACAGAATACAACATAGAAAATGGAAACAGGGAATAAACAGAGGGCCCAGATCAAATTGATGAAAAGTTGGCAGGACTGGATCAAGAAATAATCAAATTGATAGACGCAGACCGTCACATGGAAATGAAAATGACCTCCATACAAGGATTCCTGTGTGGGATAAGAGTTAAGATATACCTCTGAGAGAGGAATTTGTATATATTTTTTCCTTTTTTATGTTTTTAGTTTTGTTTAGTTAGTTTTTTATTGTAATGTATTGTGAAAATTCTCAATAAAACTTTCCAAAATAAGAGAAAAGGAATAAATGGTATTGAAATTAAGTCGTGTCTGACAAATTGCTCTCAAATACATTTAAGCCTATTTAAATTAGTCTGGATCAAACACAAAGGCTACTGAATTATAATGCAAAATGGCTTGTAATCCAGAGGAATATGCACATCAAATTATGCAACTCCAAGTGCTAATTTTTAAATTTTAAGTTATCGAATGATTATTGAAACAGCTAGTGCAGTTTCCTAAAGAATAACATTACTACCACATTTAGCATAAGTTTTTGATCCCAGATAGCTTATGACATCGTTTCCATTGCTGCATTCCTCACCCCAGTCAGATGCTACTTTAGATCCATGTAAAACTTAAGCTGTCATACTCACCCCTACACACCACATTAACTGTATAATCTTATTTCAAAGGATCTGTGTAAGGAGAGCAGTCACAGCATGCTGTTGAAATTGATGACAAGTATATTAGCTCAGATAATCAAGTCACATCCTTTTCCCCCAGATATGAATGACTGCAATAAATGCTCAGATGAAAACTATCCTAGTGAGAACCAGGATGTGTGTATTCCCAAGGACATAAACTTCTTGTCTTATGCAGAACCTTTGGGCATCAGTTTAGCCTTCCTGGCTCTTTTCTTTGCTTTGATCACAGCACTGGTATTGCTAACATTTCTGAAGAACCACAACACACCCATTGTCAAAGCCAACAACCGAATCCTCACCTACATTCTCCTCATCAACCTTCTGTTCTGCTTCTTTTGTGCATTATTGTTCATTGGCCAACCTAAGAATGTGACTTGTCTCCTTCGGCAAACTGCTTTTGGAATCATCTTCTCAGTTGCTCTTTCCAGTGTGCTGGCAAAAACCATCACTGTGGTTCTGGCTTTCATCACCACCAAACCAGGATCCAGAATGAGGAAGTGGGTGGGGAAAAGACTGACCAGTTCCATTGTTTTTTCATGCTCCCTTCTTCAAATAGGCATATGTATTGTGTGGCTGGCAACATCTCCCCCATTCCCAGATGCTGACATGCACTCGGTGACTGAACTAATTATACTAGAATGTAATGAGGGGTCTGTGACTATGTTTTACTGTGTTCTTGGCTACATGGGCTTCCTGGCAATTGTGAGTTTCATTGTGGCTTTTCTTGCCAGAAAGTTACCTGACAGCTTCAATGAAGCAAAGTTCATCACTTTCAGCATGTTGATCTTTTGCAGTGTTTGGTTATCTTTTATTCCATCCTACCTGAGTGCCAAGGGGAAATACATGGTTGCTGTGGAGATCTTCTCTATCTTAGCCTCTGGTGCTGGATTGCTGAGTTGCATCTTTTCCCCCAAATGCTATATTATTTTGTTGAGACCTGAGCTAAATAACAGGAAACAACTAATAAGAATTAAAAAATGAAGAAATATGTATTTGATATAGCTTATAATCAATAAGTCTATGTGTGTGTACTCATGCGCAAGCAAGTGCATGCATGCATATGAAATTGACTATTTGTAAACAATAATAATAATAATTTCTCAGCAGTTGCCTTATGTTAGTCTTACCTACAGGTCTCCAAAACACCCCACAGCTTTCCAGCAGAAAACCCACTGTTTTGCACTAAATCGGAACAGCAATCTGCAGGAAACTCAGGCTTTCCCAGGATAAAGAAGCAGGGCAGACAGAAGTGTGGATGAGCCCACAAACAGGAAAAATATGCACACACACACACACAAACACACACCCCATAACTCACTGCCTTCCAAAGGCCTATAGAAACAGAAATGTTCTGGCCTTCTGCCTAACAACAAACAGTGATAGCGCCAGGCATGCTTCCCAACATGCATTCCATAAAAAGAGATCTATCACTGAGAAAGCCCACACTCATATTGCCATCCTCTGTATTTTCCTCAGGAGACACATGGAGAAAGGCCTCTGGTTATAAATCATACGATCAAAGAAATTCTTGAGGTACTGGGGCCCTGAGCCATGTAAGGCTTTATAGCTCCAAAACACCACTTTGAAATGAGGTGTCTCTCTTTCAACAAAGATTCCCATGCAGGGTGGCCAAGGTAGTTTCTGTGCCTAAAGTGAACCTAAACCCTGACTGAAATGGATTTTAAAAATTGATCTCATCCAAGAAAGCCTGGATCTAGACAGCAACCACCTTCATGGGAACTTTGCCTCTGGAAAGAGATTGGAAAGACTGGAAAGAAAAGAAAAAATGTAAGGACCTAGAGGAGGAGATCAGAATACTACCATAAACATAGCAGAAAATGGAAACAGCAGGAAATAGAATCTGACCATACAGAACTGGGCATGAATTAAAGGATATATAATGAGGGGAAATATGGAATATTAATCCAATATGTGATCACAGTGGAGAAATTTTAACATGGATATGGATGGAAGAATTTATTATTACTCAATGCATAGGAATAGTGATGGAAATTAATGGAGGTAAAGTTAATTACTAATAATAATAACAAATTGGGAATCCCTCTTGGACTTTTCATGGGGAAGATAAATAAATTATTCTGAGACACTTTGACTTCAAAGAAATATTGTCTAACAGAAAGTGGTGAAGATGAATGTTAACATGGACTGAATGTTTCAAATAATCCTTTTTTAATGTAACCAGAAGATGGAAAATTAGAAACTCTTTTTATCTATCTTTTGTGTTTCTTTCCCTTTTGTCGTTTTCCTTTTCTTTATCTTCTTATTCTTTTGTTCTTCCCTTTCTCCTTCTTTCTTTCTTTTCTTTCTTTCTTTCTTTCTTTTCATTTTTATTTTGAAGTCCTATGTTTAGGATCTTTGTTAAAGTTCAGGGATTAAGTAGTCGTGGGAATGATGGATGGTTGATGGAGGACCTTGGGTGGGTCCTCCACAGTGAGAGGCTGGGAGGGAAAAGGATGATTCCTGGGAGCGACTGCTACCCTCTTTAGCTGGTGGGGGCTGAGAATCGCCTCTAGGAGAGGACTCTGTATTCTACTTGTTTTGCTTGTTATTTTTGTAGCTGTTATCTTCTGTATTGTGAAAAACTTTAATAAAATTATAGATAGATATGGATTGTATTCTTTGTGGCTGTTTCTTGTGTACTGAGAGAAAACCCATCACAGTGGTTTTTGCATTCATGGCCACCAGGATTCAGGATGAGGAACTGGGTGAGGGAAAGACTAGCTAACTCCATTGTTCTTTTTCTGCTCTGTTATTCAAGCAGGCATTTATACTGTTTGGCTGGCAACCTCTCCCCCATTCCCAGATGCTTACAGGCATCCAATGACTGAAGAAATGATCTTTGAATGTAATGAGGGGTCTTTGACTCTAGTTTACTCTGTTCTTAGCTACATTGGCTTCTTGGACATTGTCAGTTTTCTTGTGATGTTCAGGTTAAGTGTCAAGGTAAGTGTCAATTTATTCTGAATTTTTAATTGTAATAAAATCAAATGAGTCACACATTGGAAATACCTGTCCTGGGATAGTGTCTAGTATCCAAAAGTGGGTGGGTGTGGGTGTTTCAGTCCAAAGGAGAATAATGTCATTGTGGCTATTTTCCTCAGCTTGAAAATTCCAGCCAATGGGAACTTTCACCAGCAATTTCACTGTGGGCACAAATCCACCTCCTTGGTGTCCCATGAGGCTAAAAGCTTTTATTGGATTTTGACCACATTTGACAGCAATCTGAGTGCAAAATGCATATTCAATCTAGGCTCTTTATTTAGAGGCTCTGAAAGAACTGCTGCAGAGGCAAATTGCATGTAACTCACATACATACAAACACATACATAAATAAAGCAATAACCTCTCTTAAATATATAGTGCCGTGATAAAGCAATAAAATATTGGTGTGTCGTCCTTTTAAAGTTCTTTCTTTCAAATTGTTAACACAAAATCTTGTTTTGTGCTTCACTCTCAGTACTAAAACCAATTCTCTTTCAGTTGCTTCAGTTCTGGAGCAATCTTCCTAAAATGGCTTCCTGTGGTAATAGCTCCATAAAGAAAAGGAAACATGCATAGCCTTTGTAACAGAGCCACACTCATACTCTATTTCTGAACTTCTTTTCTTAGTCATTCCAAAACCTACTGCTCCTTGTTTTCTAACTCAGTAAAAGAAAAAACATCTCTTCAGAATATGTGACAAACACATTTTCTTTAGTGATTCCACAGGGCAATTCTAGCTTTGGCAATAATTACCTTGATTATCAACATAACTGTATTTAATTCTGAAGCTTCTCAAAACCCCAAAGCCAGTAGCCATTTAGAGCTAGGGAGGGGGGCTGGGAACAGGTGATGAGTCTGCACATTATATAAAATAAGAATCAGATCTATCAGACTAAGTTCTTGCAATTTTCAAATCTTGAATCTACCATTCAAGTCAGATAGATGTAATTATGGAGAGTCTAATGACACTGCTTATTTGCTAAAGAAAAGTGTTGCTAAAGAAAATAGGGGGGAACTGTAGAGTCAAGATTTCTGCTCACTTTTGTGATGACAGTTGCAGTGTTCTTGCAGCTGATACTTCTTCCTCATGTGGTATGTGACATTCACAGTGTTCAATGCAGGGACCGTAATCCCCACCCGCCACCTCAAAAGTATCGTAAGTCTGGAAGCCTTATCCTTGGTGGCATTGCTTCTCAGGCTCGCTTGGTTTCCAACTCATTCATCTTCGAAGAAGAACCCCCTCCAGCTTCAACAGAAGAGCTTGTGTAAGGATTTTTAAAAAAATAATCTTGCTTTATTCCACCAGGATAATCATAATACAGTGGTACCTCAGGTTAAGAACCTGATTCGTTCTGGAGGTCTGTTCTTAACCTGAAACTGTTCTTAACCTGAGGTACCACTTTAGCTAATGGGGCCTCCTGCTGCTTCCGTGCCGCCGGAGCACGATTTCTGTTCTCATCCTGAAGCAAAGTTCTTAACCTGAGGTACTATTTCTGGGTTAGCGGAGTCTGTAACCTGAAGAGTCTGTAACCCAAGGTACCACTGTATAATAAATTATTGGAGCTGCAGAACACTGTCTTGTTCCTTTGGGGTGTAGAAAATGTTAATATGATAAAGAGAACACTGAAGAAAAGAAGCTCTCTACTCCACATGTTAAAAGAATGGTCACACTTTTCAAAGCTACCCTACTTCTTCCTTATTAAGTTTCTTTGTCCTTCCACATCCACTCCTTTATTCCAGTCGTTTCTTTCTTTAACTACATAAGGGAAACCCTTCTGATCCAGAATCCATCTCTCATTCTAGCATTGTGCCTAAGAACTACCAACACATTCTGGCCTTGGAGTATGCGGTGAAGGAAATCAATGAAAACTCACAGCTCTTACCCAATGTCACCTTGGGTTTCCACATCTATGACAGCTATTTAAGTGCAAAGTGGACCTATCATGCTACTTTGATACTTACATCAAATCCAGACAGGTTTGTTCCCAATTACAGGTGTGGTGTCCGGAATAGCCTGACAGCAGTCATTGGGGGACTGGATTCCGAAATCTCCCTTTACATTGCAACAATCTTGGATATCTATAAGATTCCACAGGTATGTTTTTAGTGGAGTATAGGATTCTACCTACTTCATTTTTCTTTCTGCTTTCATATAGATATTTATTTATGACCGCCTTGTGGTGGCTATGAAAAACATTCTTCATGAACATTCATTTCATATATAGCTTGGTTCCTGCTGATCAGATCATCTGATATCAATGAACTTTTTATCTACATACCTAGGTCCACACTCTGAGAGCCAAACTGAACCTGTGCATGTTTAACAAACAAAGTGCCTACCTGCTTGGCTATAAAATAAGGGAGGGGAGTCTGTTTTTTTCTTTATCAGATGGACTGGACTGAATCATCCAGGTGTCCTTTACCTTTACCTTTACCTTTATCAAATCCTACTTATCACATGGGGCTCAGTTCTGATTAGACCAGTGTTTCCCAACCGGTGTTCCGCGGCACACTACTGTGCCGTGAGACATTGGCTGGTGTGCCGTGGGAAGGAGGCGGGCGAGGCGGGCGGTGAGAGGCGGCGGCGGCGAGGATCCGCGTCGAGCCGGGGGCGGCTCCGCGGTGGTGGTGCCGAGCGGCGGGGCAGCGCGTGCAAAAGGGAGGAGCGCGAGACAGCGGAGGAGGAGGAGGCCGGCATGTCCGGGCAGCAGCAGCAACAACAGCAGCAGCAACTCCCGGCGACGGCTCCTCAAGCCCCGCCGCCGCCCCCTCCTCCGCCCGCTATCGCCGCCACCACCACCACAGCCGCCGCCGCCTCAGTTGCCGCCGTCCCTCAGTCCCTCGCTCTGCTGCCTCCTCCCACCCCCAAAGCTTGGAGGTTCCCCGGCAAGGGGGAGGGAAAAAACTTTCACTTTCGTGCATCCCTCCCGGCGTGACGCTGCGCGCTGACGTCACGGGGCGGGGCTTTAATGGTGGTG